AATGGTATTTCCAAATGGGTTTAACACACACACACACACACACACACACACACACACACCCTCTCTGTTCAGGCTGAGTGTGATTGTACTTTAATAATCCGTCATTTGGGCTAATGTGCCAGCGTTCCTCCATTATCGTCTCTGGCGTGTTTGTTGTTCAGCATCATCATGTATAATTAAAGTCAACACTTGTCAAAATGCTAATTTGCTGCATCCACGGTGGCGTTGATGGTGTAAAACACAAACTGGCTCTTTCTCTGAGTGAGGCGGGATTTCTCATGTCAGGACAGGAAGTTTCCTGCAGAGGCAAAAACAAACATTTTTCATGAGAACATATAAAGGTTTGGATTTCATTTGGACTGTTTACTTAGTCAAGAATCTGACTATTTAGTATTTCTAACTGTAAAGTTAATTATTTAGAGTGGCTCAGTGAGGCATTTTTTTCAAGATTGTCCTATCACAGCTGTTCTGTAATCAGAATTGTGATGCAGATTTTAGTCTCGCCTTTAGGGGGCGTGGTTGTTTGGTGAGCATTGTTTTGTTTTAGATGTAAAATAGTGTCCATGAAAGCCATAGAAGTCACGTTTTAAAACAGTATATGTTGTATAATAGGATTTCATTTTTTGTTTGGTTTGTCCTGTGGTTCACACTCCTTACCAGTTGGTGGCAGTAAGGCTTCCTTCAGTTATTTGCCAATATGACAAAGAAGTAGTAGTTGTCATGTTTGGAGGCAGTTCATGTGGTTTCTGTGAGACTGTGCATCAATAAGACTGATGAGTTAAAGTGTATTTTATGTTTCAGAATGATTTGTGTATTTTATTAATCTGGAGATTTTCTGTTTGCTCATTTTGCCCAAAAGACGCTAAACTAAGCTAAGCTAAGCTTGACGCTAAACTGGTGATTTTTATCAAACTTACTTGCTTTCCTTTTCTTCAACAATTTAAATGCAGTAAGATTAATGCTTTATTTTATGTATTACCAAATATGGCTTAGGCTGTAAGTAAAGGCCTTTGGGCCTAGTAAGGCTTAAAGGACAGGCATGTGACTGTAGTATGTTATGTGATGCTAATGTGATAATTAGATTAGACATTGGATTATAATGTGATTTGCCTTTTGCACACTTTTGCCTAAACGCTAAATAAAAACCAGACTCTTATCACCTGGTCTTGTCATTTCTTCGGCGCTCTGCGATCACCAGAGTTAACCGAACCCCCGTCTCACAAATCTACACCACAACACCCCCAAACTTCTGTGTAGTTTCTTGGTATTTCAGGTGACAGAGCAACACAAAGTAGGAGTCATTTGGCAGTGAAATGACCCGTGAGTTTCAATTTTTTTTAACCAAATCTGAAAAATGTCTGGAGTGATGGATGAATGGAGAGGTTTGTTCTTTCATTGACAGAAGACGGTGAATAATATTTCTTCTGCCTCCACAGAGCTTGTAGCTTCATGGCTTTGTAACAGATTCACATGATTCAGAGCGCTGGGCTGCATTAACATGGAAATAAATAAATGGAGTAAACACCTCAGAGTGAGTCACCCGCCTCCAGGCGGCCCAGTAACGAGATGTGTCATCCATCTAACATTCAGCAGACATGGCCTTTTTAAAAATGTAAAACGCTGTTTTTTGATTCGAGCATCTCCCTCCGGCCAATCAGCAACCTGACGTAAAGATCAGAACAAGAACGGATGCGGTGCTGTCACATGTTTGCATAAAAAAGTTTGACCTTTAATGGAAATGCATGATGATGGAGCGTTATGACGCGATGTTTATCTGATGCTAAGTAAGACAGAGGTTGGATGTTGCCTCAGGAACAAAACTTTTCTGCTTCAATCTCGAGAGGCTTCTAATTTTACTCATTCAGAGCTACAGATGTCCCTGAGATGCAGCAACACTGGACAAACAAAGAAACATTAAATGCTTTAAAAGTTCAGTAACTTAGTAGGTTTCTGAACACAAGGAAGTCTGGTAATGATAAGCAGATAAATCAGCCAGAAACTATTTGGCTTTGCAGGATCATGATGAGTTCTTCAGATACACATTAATCTAGATTTAGTTTCAAGAGGAAAATGAAGAAATTTGTGAAAATCCAACATCAGATGTAGAAGAACCTTCTGCAGAGGAAGCATCCCTCTCTTTGTTCACCCGTCGCTCATCAAGAAGACTCATGCGACCGCTACTGTTCCTCTTTCTGCTGGTCTGCCTCTTATCAGAAGCCTGGATCCAAAGTTATACACAGCTTAATGTCTAGTGCATGTAACTGTATTTCCAACCGAAGGAAAAAGCCTTAAATTTGTTTTTTTTTTTTCAGACTTCTGGAGCAGCCGATGCACAGATTCAACAATCCTGCGCCGGCCTGATGTCTGTTCTAGACCAGAGCTAAGAGGTCAGGCAAAGCTAATGTGTGCTAACAGCTGCTAACAGCTGCCTTTGTTTCCGGGATCAGAGCAGAATATTCTGACTGCAGCTGGGTCTCACCACTTTGCAAGGCTGCCTCGTTCATCAACATTACTCAAAAATTCTCACGAATGACTGAAACATGAGGTTGTGTCTGGGCAGAGATAAAATAGCTTTGGATAACCAATTAAAGTCCTGCTTCATTGTGCATTTCGGGGGGTTTGCACTGTTTATGCATCAGCCTTAGCCAGTAGGTGTTTATAGACAGTAACTGACACTGAACTGTTTGGCTGTTATTTTCTTGTTAATCGAGTTTTGCTTTGACTTTGTAATTTCTTTTAAAAACTTTTTTGGCTCTAGTGGCCTTTATTTGATAGTTAATTGATAGGAAGGTGAGAAGTGAGAGAGGAAGGGAATGTGGCAAGGGTCACCAGGCTGGGAATTGAACCTGCAACGGCTGCATCAGAGAGTAGGGCCTCCATATGTGGGTTGTGCTTAACCCCTGCGCCACCACAGCACCTCCTGACTTTGTAATTTTTATCTAAATTACTAGTTTTGTTATAGGTCAATTCACAGATAATCAGACCTTTTCTGCACTACAGAGGCCATGTTTAAATGATTAACTGCAAAGTGGAATGTGTATTTGGTCTGAACGCCACAGTGGTGCTGATCTTCTGGCAGAAAGTTGCAGGATTTTCAGAGTTGTGGTCTGTGGCGCAGTTAAATCACGGACATGTTGTGAGATCATCATGTTAATATTCTCCTGGTAAATAAACCAGGTGAACAACAGCATGTTGGTGTCATGGAAACGGGAAAACTCTCTTTGGAGAGGACTAAGTGTCAGATAACAGATCTCCTATTACCAGGAACCTTTAAAGGAAATCTGAGCAATTCAGTGTCCAGGATGTTATTAGAAAAAACCTAAATACAAAAAAAATGTAATCTAGAAAGTTGTGTTTGAGGCTTGCAGCAGTGTTTAGTGAGAGGTTAAATACATTTAACCTCTCTACCAGCTGCCATCGCGTTCATCCATCCGGTATTTGCTGTGTATTTCTGCTGCTGGTTAAACTGGGAACACTGACTGGTTCACCTCCACAAAATGAAACATTTGGTTCCTCAGAAGTACGATTTCTTTACCGGATCTGTAAACACGGTCATTTTCAGCTGAGGTCAGGGAGGGAAGGCTCAGGTGGTTTGGTGTTTAGACTTCCTTCAGCCTCTCCAGCTGAAGCACGGACACAATCTCTGCTAACATTCAGTCCAAATATTTCTTTTTGCCGTTGTACTTTAGAGCTGATCTCAGTTTCCCTCGGCGGCTCGGAGGCCATAATGACGCTGCTGGTGCACTGTGTACCTGCGAGGACTGGGACCACTTAAACTAAATGACAAACAGATGCCAGTTAATGAGCAGAGGGTGACCAAGCTGCAGCTTCCCGATACGACGTGATGCTGCAAATACCTGGAAAAATAAAAACCTGAACCGTTGCTGGCTAATGACCTGAACAGGTGAAACTGGAGAGCTACAGGTCTCATCCTGCTGATCCAAGGACGGATGGATGTGCTGCAGCGCAAGATAATTAGCATCATTATGCTTTTTGTAGAAAAGAAATTATATATTTGGTTAAGTTGATTTAATGTTATGGTCAGGTTGAATCATCTCAGTTTGTTTTTTATGTTAGCTTCAGATTGTACTTTTTGTTTTATTGCCCTTCTCCATATTTAAGATCTTAAATTATTCAAACATAACCTCAAGTCCACAAAGACACACAAGAGATTGCTAGCTCTAATTATACATTATTAATAAATAAAAGCCACACTGATAAAGTTTCAGAAAATCCCAGAACACCCAGAAATCCTATTTTTACACAAAGTACATAAACTCCTGTAGCTTAAGATGCTCAGCAGACAATCAAACTCTTCACTTGAGGAAATTAAACCAACTTTTCAGCAGAAAGTTGCTAAGACTTGTTAAATGTTGCCATGACGACACACTTCAATTAAAATCAACCTTCTATGCGTAATTTAGGGTCCAACAGCTGCATGGCTGTTTCTCTCCTGAGAGGAAAGACCCTTTGCAACTACGTCACTAAATCAGTCCAGGCGCCATGATGGACGTCGGAAATGAGGGAGGAGAACAAACAGACAGACTGACACCGTTTCCCAAAGTTGTTTTTTCCAGTTTATTCATGGCCTCTACTAATGTGTCTGTAACTCTCCTGGTTGGGCTCATAGTCGGCGGGATTTACAGAGTTGGTAAAAGGTTACTAATGCTTAGAGAGGCGTCCCTTCTCCATAAAGATATATTTGATAAGTTTCCAATAATTCTTGTTTATAAAGTGTACCGGATCTGTGAAAGTTATTAAATAAAATGAAAGTTTGGTTTGTATCCTTGCCTGTTCATGCAGCCGACCGCGCAGCGTCCAATCAGCATTTTTAAAGTGAAATCCACTAAATAGAAGCGATATTAGCTTCAGATGTGTGTTTTAGACTAGCTTTAAAAGAGCGCATTGGCTGTTTTGACGTCCGTCATGGCGGAGTGGGCGGAGCTTGGGACGTCACAAGCAAACGCTAAATAAACAGTGAAAGTCATGTCACTTCCTGTTTCCTCACTTCCTCTGTCAGACCGAGAATCCCATAGTCCGGTTTTAAACACTTGAACTTTCAAACTTTTCTACACAGAATCAGCGGTGAGTTCCTTCTGCTTAGTAATTAGTAAAACCTTTTATTAATACAACCAATTTACAAAGAAGTTTCACAAACTCTCCTTTTGCTGCCAGTTATAAAGCTAAATCTGTTAGCTTAGCGCTACGCCAGGTGCCCCGAACACAAGTCTAGAAAAGCAAGGTTTGTCCTGTTAAATGATTTCGTTTTATTCAATGAGATGGAAACAAATAATTGCAGCGTTGTGGGTTTTTCTTTGAAAACAAGATTAAAGCTGAAGGTGACCAAACATTGGTTTGAGTAGTTTTAAGTTGGTTTGTTTTTGACCTCTCTTAAGGTCAGATTTATTTACTTTTTTGGATGATTTCCTTCTGATATTAATTCAATATTCTTTAGTTATTGTAGGCAGTGATGGCTGTGGGTAGAAAGATTTCCTGTAGCAGTCTGTATTGCAGTGAATTTGAAGAAGCTTCTGACTGAAGACTCTGTTTTTCTTTGACAGTCTCATGAAGATGGTCAGGTTTGTCCATAATTTTCTTGATTTTAATGTAAAATATTTCTTTCTGCTATTATCTCCATTTAAGGCGAACCAAAAATATGAACAATTTTAAACAATTTATACAAGTTTGTTTATTTGTTTGTTTCTGTTTAGCTGAATTTTTAAATTGGTTATGTATTAAATTTAACTCCAGGAAATGAATTAAATTATTTTCATTAAAAACATCTTAAATCAAATTTATGGAACACCGCTGCATATTTTCTATTATACTAAATATGGAGATACTGTAGGACATGCTCCTAGAATTAATCTTTAATTTTACTGCATAAAAAAATATTGTAAAAAAAAAGTAAAACTAAATGTCAAACCTTAACCTTTTTTTCTTTTTAAAGTCTCCTCTCTTAGTTTTACCTCAGACTGATTCATGTTTTACTCTGGTCCAACGTCTCACAGCCACTTCAACCTCGAGTGTGATGAACTGTACAATTAAAGGTTAATGGACTCGTACAGCTGTGAGAGTTGGCCCTAATCGCGTCCTAATTAGAGGTGGTTCGGTTCTGCTCCCCTCCAGACAATTATCCTTCCTCTTCCTCTGCAGAGCGCCACTTTCCTCCACCGCCACAAAGTAGGGCAGCCGGAGCCGCATTACGCTCGGAGTATCCCTCATCCCTGTCAGGACCGGAGTGGCCTCGCTGTCCGCCGAGTCGCTCAGCTGGACGCATTAATGAGTGACCCAGTCGACCCAACGCTGCTAGCAGGGAAATCCAGGAAGTTCGCGGCGCCGTCTCCTTGTCAGCATGGAGGTCAGCATCTACTTTATGTAACATTCACAGGTTTGACCTTTTCAAAAGCTTCCTCAGCTACTTACAGCAGTTTGGTCATCCAAACTGGTTTCAAACCAACAACACGGCAAACAAACTGAGAGTTTAGTTTATGTTTGATAATCTGGAAGTGATGAATAAATGTGAGGACATTTTAAAACATGTTTTTATCTGAAATCGAGGTCTTTGCTTAGCAGCAGATTTACTAATAAGTTAAGATTATTTGTACTGGATATTATTCAAACGAACAACAACAAAGAAATATTAAGGGAAGTAATAAAAAGTTAAAATGAATTATGTTCCAGTTATGAGTCAAACAAAACTAAGGCTCAGAGTTTTAGTCTGGATGTAAAGGAACTCAGTGTTTCAACAGTTTTTCAGTTTTCTGGAAGTTTGTTCCAGATTTGTGGTAAATAGAAGCTGAATGCTGGTTCTCCTCGTCTGGTTCTGGTTCTGAATGCAGAACCTGAGCGGTTGATACAACAACAGACCTTTAATCTGTTCAGTGATTTATAAACTACCAGCAGTAGTTTCTAGTCTTTCAGTGAAGGACTGTAGAACCGGGCTGGTGTAGAACCGGGTGGTGTCTCTGTCCTCCTGGTTTTAGTCAGAACTCCAGCAGCAGGGTTCTGGACCAGCAGCAGCAGGGTTCTGGACCAGCAGCAGCAGGGTTCTGGACCAGCAGCAGCAGGGTTCTGGACCAGCAGCAGGGTTCTGGACCAGCAGCAGGGTTCTGGACCAGCAGCAGGGTTCTGGACCAGCAGGGTTCTGGACCAGCAGGGTTCTGGACCAGCAGGGTTCTGGGTCGTTGGTCTGTCAGTCTGACCTGCTGACTCTGGTCGGAGACTTTAGTCCTCTGGTCCTGAAATGTTCTGCAGCTGATAGCAGAACCACTGTGGAACCGGCTTCATGTGGCTCTGAGGTCAGAGGTCATCCTGATCTCTAGCTCCTGGGTGTAATAACTGAAGCTGTGCATTGACTCTAGATCTATAGCTCTAGATCGCTCCTCTGTAGGTCCTAAAATAATAACTTCAGTTTTGTTTCTGTTGAACTGGAGAAAGTTTTGTCACATCCACACATTGATCTGTTCTGATGTTCCTGTTCAGTGGTCGGATGGGTTCAAAGGTCACCCGGTGACATCGTATTGCAGAGCTGTGTATCATCTCTGTAGTCATGGTAACTAATCTTCCTGTTATAATCTGAGCTAATATCTAATATAAATGTTAAATAGTAAAGGATCCAGGATGAACCTTAAGGTTCAACAGCTGACATCATTTTTCTCTTTGACTTACGTAATGAATCAGAGAGATCCCTGTTGCTTAGGTCAGATTTTAATCATGCCAGGCCAACGTTAATATGACATAAACTGTTGATCCTCTGGTGAACCAAATCACCGCTGCGGTTTACAGATGATGGATGGATGGTTTCCATTCTACCAGCATGGTAAGAAGATAAACCGTGTGACGAAGCTTTAGTGTCGTCACTTTTACAATCTTTTTATCGTCCTTCACTGTTGGCCTTCAGTCGGCCTTCGACTGTTTGCCTGCAGACTTTCAGCATCTTAACGGCAGAATAATCAGGATTTCTACATGAAATCATTTCCAGCACATGAATGATGATGTGATCTTTGCTCTCTCCTCCGCCTCACCTTTGAGGTCTCTGCGTGTTGGAGAAATCAGTGCAGTGATATCACAAATGCGATTAATGTTGCATTGATGTGAGAACGCAGCGGTGCCGGTGCAGTGGACTGTGAAGGCATGCAGCCGAGTGTGGCTGTGCGTTAATGCTGCTTGGTCCTGAATAAGTAAATGAGAGCGCTCCAAGCAGATAAGCACTGAGAAGTTTCAGCGGCGGACGACTTTAAAAAGTTTTTTTTCTCTCACACGTCTCCTTAAATTAATGATCTGCCGGCGTCACTCGCTCTCTTGTGGTCACTTATGGCTGCATTAGCGACTTGCATCCTCTAATGTAAAACTTTCACTGCCGTCATTAAAGGATAAAAGTTGCAGTGTGTCGCTGGAGGATCTGATGTTTGGCTTCACACAGCACTGATGCAGGACTTGGATTATTTAAATCCTTTGTAAAATAACCATCTGCATTGTAATTTAATTGCACATTTCTGACCTCCTGAGTTTCGCCTCAGACTGAAATAGCATTGCATCATCACTGATTCTCACTGCTTTGCTGTTTAATTTGTTTTTCTGGTGTGGAAAAAAAGTATTTTGAATATATGTGCACACATTTTACACTCCACTGCAGAAAGCAACGATGGCTTATTAGGGCCACTGTATGTAGACAAAAGGAGTAAATTTATGCAAAAAAAAGCAAACCACAATTTTGAGATTAATTTCAGAAATTTTCTAAAAAAAAATAAGGTTATTTCTGAGCTGCGAAAGTTGAAAATTAGCTAGAGGAAAGGTCAGAATATTTGAGATTCTCTAGAAAGTTTGAGAAAAAACTCAGAAATTGTCCAAAATGTGAAATTTTCTGACTTTAGAAACTCAGAAATGTTCAAGTTTTTTCTAGATTTTTCTGAGATTAATCTAAAAAAATTTGCATTTGTTTTTCCTAGGAAATTTTTGACTTTTCAAACTCAGAAATGTCAAACTGTTTCCTAGAAAATTTCAAAATATATGAGTTTTTTTTTTAAACACAGTAATTTCAGTCAAGCATCCATTCATTCCCATTTATAATAGTTACCCAGTTAGTGAATTAAGTTCAGTTTATTATTTTGTCAGTGAGAGCCAATGGGCCGAGTTCACACACCTGCGGGACGCCAGTTCTTACTGGAGCGTTCTGTTGGTGTCCTTCCTAATTTAACTGGGATCTCAGGTTGATCCAGTTAAAGGAGCAACTTTTCCCCCAGTGATTGAATCAACTGTAAAAGTTTTTATCTTTTAGGGGGAAATGCAGAAAATTCAACACCTTCCAGAGATTTAAGGTTCAAAATCCCTTTGACTTGATGGTTAAATTAATTCCAGTCGACATTCTGCTGGTATTAAAATTTAGACAGTTGTGATAAATAAAAGTGAATGTTCAGTCGACATTAAACATGATGAGTTTTTACCCTGTGAAGCAGACAGTTTGTGTGAAATTCTGCTGCTGCTGCTGCTGAGATGCTTTCATAAATGAGACGACCTTCACTTTGTCTGAGACTTGTCCTTTAATTTTCTGCTTCCTTTGAATGAATCTGAGCGTTAGAAGACAGATTCCATCAGCCGAGGCCACCAGGCCCGTTTCTGCTGGTCGTCCTGAGCCACGTCTTTATAAATACCTGAAAATGTTTGTCAAGGTGCAAAAAGAAAATCTGCTGCAGCTGAGGATTTACAAAAACAATAGTTTTAAAATCCATGTTAGACTAAAAGTAATTTAAATAATGTAATAAATTTGTTGGTATCTTTCCAATGCTACAATTTTCATCCATTGATTCTTTGAAAGACTCGACTAACTGTTCAATTCACTGCATTATATGTTGACAGGATGGATAAACTTTACTGAACATCTTTTTCTTTGTCTGTTTCGGCCCTGGGCCTTGTGGGCCTGGGTCAGGTCTTGTCTGTCTTTGTGTCAGGTGCTGCTGATTTGTTCATTTGGAGCGCAGAGTACTTGAACCTGGCTGTCTCCGTCTTCTGGGTCGCCTTCAGCTTCCTCTCTGCTGCTTGATGCTTATGATGTTTGGTTGCCAGGCCTCAGCTCCCCTCCTTTCGCACTTTTGAGTTTCTTTGTTTTGGCACCTCAGCACTTCCATATGCATTCATACAACACAATACTGATATTCACAATCCATTGTTGTTTTTGTTAATATTTATTTGTATGCACTTTAACCACGGCATGGCCTCATGTTTTTATGACCTGGAGCCAGTCGTAACAGTCTTTAAATGTTTTTAAGAAGTAAACCTACCATAGTCTTAAATAATGTTTGAATTTTTAAGCTTTTTGTATAACTTGTCTTGCGAAAAGATTATCATTCGATTATTAAAAACTTTTCAGATTCTCTCATATAAAACCACAAACTAACATATTATTGGGATTTTGTGTGACAGATACAAAATGACCAAGAAAGAAAATTTTTAAATTATTTTTAAACAAAAATCTGAAAAGTGTGGCATGCATTTGAACTGGTTCTGTGTTAAAAATACACCCTGGTCCCAGTGGGGTCGGGAGGTTCTGCTGCCTCTCCAGCCAACGTGTCAGTGCGAGGCGGGTCACCTGGACGGGTCGCCAGTCTGTTAAAAATCTGGTGTTAAAAATCCAAACAGCTAAAAATCTTCTGGGGTATTTCTGCACCAGCTTTGCATTAAATATTCAGCAGTCAGTTAGATTGCATCAAATGTCATATGTTACATACCAGCTAAATGTTTGGGAAATAAAACGATATTCATGATTCATAAAAATAGCTTTTTATACAACTTGACTGAAATGTTTAATTTAAATATGAGTTCAAACTGAATCCAGAAATGTTTCCAAATCAGACAAATAAATCTGCTGAAGCTGAAGCTTTAGTTGTCACCTTTTCAGTTATGGCTAAAAATAAACAAAAACATTAAAAGTAAATGGAAAAAGCATCAGAATCTTAGAAGAAACTAAATTATTACGTAACATTCTGTCTCCAGAGATGTAGATATAAAATAAATGAAGGATTGATCAGGACTTTTTCACAGTTCAGGATGTCACTTTGTAAACCTTCGTATCACACAGTCTGGATAATTAAGGTGTTTAACACTCTGAACGCTTTAATTTCCTGCAATTATTATGAATTATGTTAATTAATTTGAACTTGCTGACAGAAAACTCTGCAGTTTAGGTTTTGATTTGATGGTGTTTGCACTCGATCCTGTAAGGAAAACGTGGATGTCCATGTTGTGGTGCAGCTTTGTTTTCATGCTCTGTGTTGGTGACGTATCGCCGTGTCTTTGGATCAAAGCTGGGGGTCCGTCCCGTCTCCGTCCCGTCTCCGTCCCGTCTCCGTCCTCCAGCTGTCT